TTTCTATGGATTATCAACCTTTTGCAGGTTATTTAAAGCCTGAATGTTGAACAATCAAGAGTGTGAGATTCACCTTCGCAAGGAGGTTTCCAACTAGCATCCAGTTGGCTGACAAAAATAAACAAGGTTGTAACTTAATACATCTATTTATTCCCAAATATACAGGAATTGTGGCACATGGCTGAAGGCGGAAAAAAGGAGGGGCTGGTCCTCCTTAGCTGTCCTAGATAATTTGACTCGCAACCCATTCATTCATTATAATTTACACATTTACCACAATAATTTATCCATCGCCTACAATTCCGCATGCACCAAAATACCACATACTCGCAGGGGAACCTACAAAACACCCCATGACATAAAAATTTACAGTTCCATAAATATATATAAATAAAAATTCCATGATTCATGAAATGATGGGGGAGGGGAGATGAACCCCAAAAACAATCTCAAAAATTAAACAAAGGATACAAACTAAAAGATACCAATGTTAGTAGGAACCATCCACCCACTCAAAATAATAAGAGAGGCCACTGTATTCTGCCACTAGACAGAATCAAGCAGCACACTCACTAATGGAAATGGGAAGGAAAAAATAAATGAATGGAGAAATCAAAGGCTGACTCCACCGAGATAAAAACAGGGGACAACAAAGACTGGGGAGTTTAGAAATCTTGACATGGGTCATAACAAAAGAGAGTGCCAGGAACAGGCAGGGAACAACACTCATACTCATTAACTAGGAAAACAAAATAGAGCTAACTTAACCAGGGAAGGGTTCATAGGAAATCGCCCCGTTGCATTAAGGGGACTTCAAAGAGAAAATCAAGGCTAGTTCCGTCCACATGAACCATGCTCGCCTCAGTCACCCACCTTTTGCTGAAATCTGTCAAAATCAAATGCTTATGATCAGATCTGGTTTTTACCCTAAGCTGGTGCTTAAAGAAAACGACCAGTTCCTGATACAAATAACTTTCATTTCACAAGATTCCCTCCTTTCGCAACATCCATATCACTATTCTAGCCATGGTTAGCAATGTGTAAAACACAATTCGTTTTACTCTGGAGAATGGGGGTGACGCATTGTCACACACGTACGCGAGATCAATGAACACGAGCTGCCCAGGATCAATACAAGCTGTCAACTTGCCGACATACTCCTAGAAGGGGTGCACCAGCAGACAATGGTAGAAGGCATGCCCAGCTGTTTCTTCTAAACCAAGGTCACACCGATGACAGTCTGGAAAAACTCAGAGTTACTGAGATAATCTGCCGCTGGCGCCCAGACCCCAAAGATGTGCGACAGCCTCAAGTACATTTTGTAGGGCAGACAATCAAGTCCCAGCAACTTGCTTCTGCCAACCTTCTTCAGTGCCAAGTCAACTTCACCCTCTGTGATCTCTCCCCCGCAGCTAGCTGCTTCAGCTGAGGAAAGTTAGCCAAATAGCTGCGAAACTTGTCGCCACTGAGACCAGGATCCTTGGTAAAATAGCTCTCAAAATGCCACTGAAACACCTCGCACATGTCTTTGATTGACCTCAGAGAACGCCCTTCCAGTGTAATGACCTTACAAATGTATCGATCGGAACCTTGACGGATCTCTTCCTTGTACAATTCTGAACCCATGTTCATGGCCTTGTTAGACATCTTGTTTAAGCTATGTCTAACTACCTGACCCTGATAGCACTTGCTAGCCTTGCGCTTCAGGGCCTGCCTAGCTATGGCTATCTCTAGGAAATCCCCCCCAGCCACCACCCAGGACAGAGTATCCTCTAGAGTCTTCACCTTTTTAGCCTTATCTAGGGCAAGTCATTGGCTAATCCTATCCTTAAGCCTCTCCCACCACCTACTCCCAATAACTTCCCCACTAATTTCCAGTGCACTAATCTAATCAGCTGTTTCAGAAAGACCCACCTAACACCATTCAGGTACAGATAAGTCTATGATCCAAAGAGTATAAATGGTGGAATGTGGAACAATTTAGTAAATCTAAGTCGATATTCTGATTAACATTCTATCCAGGTAGCTGGCTACCTGGAGAGACAGCCAATTATGTGACCATGGCCACATCTCCCACCCTGGATGATTGACCCAGTATCTATCGACAAGCACAAACTCTTCAATCAGATCAAACAAGCTATGATCAACCATTGCCTTCCCACTAGCACCCTGCCCCCTGTCTATCTTGGGGTTCAGTATGGCATTGTAGTTCCCCATTTCAACTAAGTGTGAAGAATCCAACAGGAACAGCCCCACTGTTCATGGCAATATTGGCCACAATAACCAGCCCTCTGTGTCCAGATGGACAAGGTTCACCTTCGCCCCCAGCAAACACTTGACTCACATTCAAGCTAGCTACCTCGATAGACATCTTTTAAGTTGGAGTCCCTTAGACACAGACTGGATGAAAATCTGTGGGGTCAAACCCCGACAGATTGTCCCAGACTCCCTGTACCTATATCGGATGTAATTTGTCCTTTTGTGACAATACTGACAATGTCTGTGAGAAAAGTTAATTTTATTGCCCTATATAGAGAGGGGTGGAGAAGAACTGGGGCCCTCCCAGGGCAATATTGTGATAACTTTTTCAGCTCCGGTGATTCAATCTGTACTATCCAGAGCTTCAGGAATGCGTTTCTGGCTTCTGCCAAATAGTCCCATACTTTGAAGTTTCCCCCAATGTTCCTAATTAGTGTAATAACACGGGAAAAGGAAAGTTTTTGGGATCCTCTGTTGACTTCCTATCAACAGAGGTGCATTTGAAGAGAGGCCTCAAGAGGGCCTTCCTCTGGGAGGAAAGTACTCAAGGTACTCCCAGTCCACACTACATATCTTGTCCCCTCTGGGAGGAGGGGGCTGCTTCTTTTTTTTTTCCTTGGGGGAGGGAGACAGAGAAGACAGAGCCCTAGTAGGGGAGAATTTCACGTATTTGTGTATAAAGAGAAGAAAAATGGGGTTGATTCTCATTGGTTGAGAATAAGTGAATTAATGATAAATTTAATTGCTATAATTATTTTATTATAATTATTTTTGAAACTATAATTAATTTTTATTTATTTCTTTATAGACACAAAATGACAGCATAATTAATTTTTTTTATTTTTGAATTTCTTTATGGACACAATAATTGCATTGTAGTTTGTGCAAATATTGTTATCTTGTAAATATAAAATTCTTCTTGTAAATAAACAATCATTATAGATAGATTACTTACAGTATTTACATTATTCAGACTGTTATCTTCATGTTCATTGCCATATTCACAATATTTCGGCCATTGTACACTCTGACCTTCTTCAGGTGATTAGAATTTCAAATTGAACCCTTTATTTCATCCACTGGGATAGATTTTTCTAGTTCCATGTGCCATGCCTCTTCTGAATGTTTCAGTTATTTCCCTTTAACTCAACTCTCCAAATTTTGGTTCACCTCAAGGACACACAGCCCAGTGGATAAAGACGTTGGCTAGATCCAGTGACTAGACCCAAAGAACTGTGAGTTCAATAACAGGTCACAGCAGTGGTGAACCAAAACTTGGAGAGTTGCGTTAAAGGGAAAATAACTGAGACATCAAGAAGAGGCATGGCACGTGAAACTAGAATAATCCACCCCGGTGGACAAAATAAAGGTTTCACAGACACGGATTCTATCTGAGAAACTGTCGACCCTGGCACTTGACTAAGAAATTATCTGCCCACTAATACTGCACTGACTGCATGTAGAATGACTTACCTTCTAACATGGCTGCCTTCTTGTAAAGGCAAGCCAGCTAATTCTACCTTAATTATAGGAGAGTACCAATATTCTACAACCAGCAATAAAAATCTTGTTGGCATTAAATAACCCATTGAAGTTGATATGCCATAAAACAAAACAAACACAACCAAACTGAGGTTCAACAGAAGGATACTGAGAAAGAAAGGATTACTAAATTGTTATGTAATACTGGGCCTCCTATATAGGAATTCTTGATTCTGGTTTTCATCAAAGAATATTTTCCCCATTTTCATGAATAATGGACTCTAACATTCAATGAAGGATAAATTTGCATTGATCTTTGCCATATGTTAAAAGCATTCTGTAAGATGTAAAAAGAATATGTTGTCTGTAGAATATCAGAAGAGTATTTAAAAGTGTTCCCACACTACACAGATACCTCACCAAAGTATAGCTTCCACTTGAAGAAAATCTGAGTGCTACATGTACATCATATTGTTGTGATGTGAGAGGAAATGCAAAGGTGAAAAAGCTGCCTGTTTTAATACCAGAAATACTTTGTAAAAAATTATTACAAGCAATACATTCTTGAAACATGGCTGCCTTCTTGGAAAGGCAGGCCAGCTAATTCTACCTTATTTATAGGAGAGTACCTAATGCAGCAGGTGGCTAGATCCATTTTGCTGGAATGGACCTGCCCAACACATTTGCATGAGTGAACTCTATTCATCCATATATCTCTCCATTAAATAACTCAGGGTGCATTTCAACTTGAAGTAACTACACCAGTCTACTTGTGTGTCAGACCACTTGCAAGCTAACCAATATTCTACACTGCATACATAGCTTTCAACCTTTTAATACACAGTTGATTAAAAATATAATTTCAATATACTTGGACATAATGGGAAATAATTAAAAGTCAAATATTTATATTTTTTCACAATAGTATTTTGCTGGCATCAAACTGACACCAGGGTCTGAAAAACAATTTTGGATTGATTGGTTAATAAATAATAAAAGAATTACTCCCAGTCATCAAATATTAATGGTCTGCCATCAACTTAGGATGAGATGTTATTTATTTCATCCTTTTTCAGTTAATGATATCTCACTTATTTTCTTGTTTATCTGAAGGGAAAATATAAGGTAATCTAAATGCGGTTGTATTGAAATTCCTCTGTGCCGGGAGGAGACAATAATATAGAACTTGGTTCATAACAAAGCCACAGAACCAAGGCTAGCATTATCCAAATTGGAGAACTCAGCAGCATATTTTAGCCATGAGAAACAGCACCAAAGTAGATGTGTTTATTGACAACATCCATGAAAAGCGAGAGAAACCAGAAGAAGAAGAAAAGAAGTGGCTGACAGTTGTGGATAAAAATGCAGTCAATTCATCTCGGGGTTTTCTACTGACAGATGTGTGATAAATAAAATGATTTAGTTATAGGACAAAGAACAAGAGAAATAAATACCAGTCTTATTTGCAGAACTCTTCAGAAAAAGAGTTATTAAAGGAAGTAGAGGTAAAAATGAAAAGGATGCACATCCATTTTGAATATCTAATATTTGCATTTCTTCTTTTTGTATTACTTTAGATTCCCTGACCTGTAATCTGAAAGGGATATTGATGTTTTACTTATATTTTTAGATATTCCAAGATAAAATTAACAATGCTATCTAATGGCAAAAAAAAAAGATACAAAGAAATCAATGTTTTTTTTTTAATATTTCTATACAAAAATATTAAGCATAAACAATTTTTTTGTCCAAAATACACACTATTAATCAATCAAACTTATCATTACTTGTTACTCTCATATTTTTTCTTACTTTCCCAAACCAAAATATATATGGCATCATCATCATCTTTTCTAGATTTAGTTTTATCTTTTCTTTCTTTCTTTATTGTTAATTCTTTTTCTCAAGTGATTTTTTCAAAACCTTTCTTTTTTTCTTAAAAGAATTTTCATGTTTCTTTTGCTTACTTTCTTTTTTTTTCTACTTTTCTCTTTGCCTCTCTTTACCTTTGTATTTTCTTTCTTTCTCTCATTTTTTGCTTTCACTTTATTTTGTGAAAAGTGAGAGATCCTTATCTTTACTCTTATTTTATCATTTTCTTTATTCTCTTTTTCATTTTCTTTCTTCTCACATCTCAGTATTCTTTTGCATTACTGTCTTCTCACTCTCTTTTACTACTCCTTCTATTCACAGTTTATTTTTCCTCTTTATTTTTCTTTATTCTTCTTCACTTGAAAGTGCCCCTTCCCCTTCTTGTTTCTTTCATTTTCATTACTGTTATTTATTCCTGAATTCTTTCTGACATCCTTTTTCATTTGTCTTGTCTATTCATCTTTTTTATTCTCACACTTTTATTTACGTATTCTCTCATGCTTTCATTCACTTATTCTCTCACACTTTCATTCACTTATTCTCTCACATTTCCATTCACTTATTCTCTCACACTTTCATTCACTTATTCTCTCACATTTCCATTCACTTATTCTCTCACATTTCCATTCACTTATTCTCTCACATTTCCATTATTCTCTATTTTCTCTCACATTTCCATTCACTTATTCTCTCACATTTCCATTCACTTATTCTCTCACACTTTCATTCACTTATTCTCTCACACTTTCATTCACTTATTCTCTCACACTTTCATTCACTTATTCTCTCACTCTTTCATTCACTTATTCTCTCACACTTTCATTCACTTATTCTCTCACATTTCCATTCACTTATTCTCTCACACTTTCATTCACTTATTCTCTAACACTTTCATTCACTTATTCTCTCACATTTCCATTCACTTATTCTCTCACACTTTCATTCACTTATTCTCTCACATTTCCATTCACTTATTCTCTCACACTTTCATTCACTTATTCTCTCACATTTCCATTCACTTATTCTCTCACACTTTCATTCACTTATTCTCTCACACTTTCATTCACTTATTCTCTCACATTTCCATTCACTTATTCTCTCACACTTTCATTCACTTATTCTCTCACACTTTCATTCACTTATTCTCTCACATTTCCATTCAATTATTCTCTCACACTTTCATTCACTTATTCTCTCACATTTCCATTCACTTATTCTCTCACACTTTCATTCACTTATTCTCTAACACTTTCATTCACTTATTCTCTCACATTTCCATTCACTTATTCTCTCACACTTTCATTCACTTATTCTCTCACATTTCCATTCACTTATTCTCTCACACTTTCATTCACTTATTCTCTCACACTTTCATTCACTTATTCTCTCACACTTTCATTCACTTATTCTCTCACATTTCCATTCACTTATTCTCTCACACTTTCATTCACTTATTCTCTCACATTTTCATTCACTTATTCTCTCTCATAGTTCTATTCTTTTTACCTGCAAGTAGATGACCAAATGGTTTTGGGTTAATCAAGAAGTGATTCCTAAATAAATTCTGATGTTTGGTCATTTGGTCAGATTTGGTGAAGTAAGCATGGCCAAGAAGCTTTCACCATTCTCTCATACATTCTCTTTTTTCAAATGTTATTTATTTTGGTTTTATTTACCATCATTCTATCCAATATTTTTTTTCTTCAAAGGCAATAAAAAAATATCCAAAAAAGTAACAGGATGAATATTTTTTCTTCTTTTGTTTATGTTAGATTTTTATTGATTTTTTAGTTTCTTTTTTCTTTTAAACAATTTCTTATTCCTGAAAAAGGAAAGAAAAATCAGAAAAAGAAAAAAGACAGAATCAGTTCCTGCATTTTCTTCCTTTTTTTGTTATCTTTCAATTCCTTCTTCATTTTTTTTATGATTTGGTAAGTTTTGCATCTTGTTATTTTTCTTTCTTTCTATTTTTTCTTTTTTTGTTTATATAAAAAGAAAAATATTTTTTAATAACAAGAAAATCAATTTCTTTTTTTTTCCTGTGATATATTTTCATTTACTGCAATATTTTATATTTGTTAATTTTTTTATCTTATTCAGAGTATGTTTTTTTTTTATTTATGAAAGAAAAAAATAATTTCCAAAAAAAATGAGAGGATAAATTCCTTTTTTAAATGCATTTTCTATTTTTCTTGCTACATTTTTTATTTTTCATTTTCTTTCCTATTTTTCATCCCCAACCCCACATCTAAATTGTTTACTTAAAAGCAAAAGAAAAAAAAAAAAAATCAAAACAAATATAAAAGAATGAATTTTCTTCCTTCTCCAATGCATTTTTTCTATTTTCATTTATTTCCCTCTAGAAATTTCTATATTAAAAGTTTTTGTATCTTTTTCATTCATTTTCTCTCTCATTTTTTTCCTTTCAATCTCTCTCTCTCTCTTTTCTTCATCAACATTTTTTTTTCATTCTGTTATTTATCTTTTATCATTATTGCCTTTCCTCTCTTAAACATGCCACAACTTTTCTTTTATTCATTCTTGTCTTTATTTTTTGATTTTCATTGCTTGCACCATTTCCCACCTTTCCTGTTCCTGTCCATATATTGCAGTTTCCTGTGTCAGGGGTAAATAACAAGCAGAGAGAAGAAAAGGTAAAATATAATATGGGGTCGGCCATTACAGTGTTTTATTAACATTTTCTGCTGAAAAGTGCTGACTCACGTTCTCACAGGAGCAAAGACAATCACCACCACATGAAAAGGACTTTTCAGTATAGACAGGAAAAAAAAAAAAAAACAGGCGAAAAAGAAAAGACAAAAATGTCCACTGGGTCAGCTGGTCAACACTAAACTAACTAAGCACAAAGGAAGCATGAACCAATCCCAGTAATATATGCAGTCTCACTAAGAAGCCTTGACCGACAGTAAAGCAAAATTAATGGAATTACTGACCAGAACTATGCTGCCAAAAATGAAGACTTAATGCAAATGGTAACTGGATCTTGTTAAGGTTGACAATAGATGTAACAGCTATTTACCATCACAAACAAAGAACTTTACCAAATACCAAAAATCATATCATTTGGCAGCAATAATAAAAAAATAGAAGAGAAAAATAATGATATAATGAAGCTGTTAACTTTCCAAACTACCAAAAACAAAAGGTTAGAAAAGAAACTCCCATTAATTCTAGAAAGAGTGATAACAGTGTGTTGTGGAGTAGTTTTCACAGTGGAGGCTTGTATTTCACTAAGTCAGTCCTAAATTAGGTTCGACATACAAAACGTTAGGAACTTGAAAATAATAGTTACTGACATAGCAATCTAGTTGTGGTTGTTGATACTTTAATGTCCGACATCGACTGACTCACCAACTTCACTGAGACCCTGGTGACTGTTACTATTTATTATATCTGGGAGAGTCTATTTACAATAGAATAGGTATGTTCCGGTATAACACAGTGAAAATGAGAAGTTTAATTTCCAGATGGAGTAATGGATAGTGGCTCAGATTGAGGAATCAGAGAGCTGAGTTCGAATTCCAATCAAATCCATTACATTCACTTACGTGCTAATACCCTTGGGAAAGGTATAAATCCTCTTCTCCTTCCAGCTATGGTTAAATAGTAGGACAGACTGGGTTCTATAGCCTTGGATGGCAACTGGTCTACTGCAGAAAGAAATAGCAACCTACTGCGTGAAAAAATCCTCCATGTCAGTCATGTATCGAAAGATACATGATCGCCTAAGTGTTTATCAAATATGACATATAACTGACTGAATTTCCAGAAAAACCTTTTAAAGAAAAAGATTTTATAAATTTCAACTTACATTAATGGTAATTGTTTAGTTGATGAATGCTGAATATTGCCTGTAAGGTACTGGTAATATTAGTCATCTCCTTATATGGTGAACATTTGGCATTCATTGACCAAGCAGCCAGTTCTACTCACTATGTTTTTCTTCACCCTTTGACTATTGGGTTAGGATCAAAGTGTAGTATCTGGCCTCCTCATCTCTAATAGCGATGGTAATATTAGCCATTTCCTTATAAAGTGTACGTTTGGCATTCATTGACCAAGCAAGCCATGTGCCCAATAATAATAATGATAATAATAGACAGTACATAAAGTTAAGAGACCAGACATTGTGATTGAATAATATAAACAAAAAAATGTATTCCTATAGATACAAAAATTCCATCAGATAAAAATTCATCTGTTTAAAGAATATGAAAAAATAAGTCAATATAAAGATTTTGAAATTAAAAAAATAAATGTTTAAACTAAATCTATTGTTATACCTGTAATAAATGGAGCACCAGACACAAACAAGAAAGGTACAGACAAGAATACAAGGGTCAGCTGAAAAGTTCATTGACTGAATAAGATATAAATTTAAGTAGACACACCAGTTTGTAGACTAAAAGATATGCAAGTGTATCCAAATAAAACAGCTGGTTAAACAGTTGTTGTATTCTGATACATCATAAAGAGTTCAATCCTTGGGAAGATTAGCATTAACAATCTCCATAATAGTCAACTGTAAGGTAGAAGAGCATAGTTAACAATAATAATAATAATTATTAATAATAATAGTAGTTCCTGTAGTAATGGGGTCAGTTGGATAACAACTGAGAAACTTGAAAGTGTACTTAGGGAAAATTGGAACTGAGATCAAGATGGTAGACCTCCAGTAAACTACCATCTTTTACACTGCGAGAATTCTTTAAAAAAGTTCTTAAGTTGTGACACCATGTCTCAAGAACTTCCATTGACCACATCAATGTGCAACACCAACATAATATTCAAAGTACGAATGCATGATAATAATAATAATAAAGGCAATAATAATTATAAATGATATTTATAATGTAAAAACTTAAGTGTCTTTAATAATAAATGATGCTAAAGAATATTAAATAATAATAAATAACTAATAATAATTATAATTCTATCATAAAAAAAAATCCGATGAGCTGGTGATGCAATGGTTGGTGGTGTGGAACAAGAAATCTGAGCTCAACTTCTGGCCAATTTCATTACATTCCCTTTTGTACAAATACCCTTACAGAATGTATGAATCCATCTATTCTCCTTCCAACTATGGGTTAAATAGCAGGCTGAGCTCTCAAGGCATGTTGGCATCCAATCTAAGTGAAAGACAACTCTGAATTCAAAACTGTACATAGTCCTGTACATACACCTACTGCGGGAAAAAATCTGCCTCATCAGTCATGTATCTTTTGATACATGATTGCCTAAGCAGGTATCATGCATGGCACATAACTAACTGACAAAGTACATACTAAACAGCCATGGAAAGGACCATGGACTTCATAAGGACTCTATGATCTTGACTGTGGCTGATGAGGATTAGGGTTAGGGTAGTAATATAAATAATTACAATATAAATTATAATAATATAAA